GCTGGTGAATATGGACTATTAAAAAAGGATATGTATAAAAAAAAAGAAAAAAAAGTATGACATTAGTACAATTACCGTTTAAAGCTAGAATACATTTAGCATTTTCTATTATTTTTAGATAAAAAAAATATAGTCTATAATGTGTAGTTGGAACAAATTCATTGCGTAAAATAGACAGAATTTAGAAAATCTCTTGCCATCATCTCTTTCATTTGACAGTCTTCTAATTATAAGTGTTTGGCCGCAGATAATAATCCATACATCGCGCATTTTATATAATATATGAAAAAAAAAAAAAAACAGATCTGCCTGACTAAGCCGAATTATAAGTAACCTATATTGAATTTTCACAAGCGCTGAAAATAAGCAAGTTCAAATGAGATACCGCTAGAGATGAAATCAAAATAATTGTAGTATTTCATATGGAAAGCCTATGAAATATAAATACCACAAAGAAATATAAATTGATAATTTCTTGCGAACTACAGCATACTCAAATTTTTTTTCAAACTATTGTTCCAAATTGATTAGAACATTTCCGTTAATTTTTGCTAACAACTTTGATATATAATTCATTGTTGTCATACCAAGTAACGATTGAGCTTAAATAACCAAACACACAAATAAACATCTAAAATAATGAATTAAACAAATTGTAATTTGAAGCAACATAATAAAACGTTTATTAAGTCGTATACAGGTATTTTGTAAATATGTATCATGAGCCTGATGATCACACAAGTTGCGTGAAACTCGAGTAGTTTTTGGTCCTTGAAAACATAAATATATATTGCACTCTACATACTGTATTGAGCACTCTTTACCGACACGAGACAAACACACTTTCACTTTATATATCAGGCTAGTAATGCAGTTTATGTTTTTGAAGTGATCCCCGATCCAATGTCTAAATKTATGATCCTTGATCCTGAAACAATKACAATTTTTGATCCCCGTTCTTTGCCAAAGTTTTGTGACCCATGATTCCTAGACAYTGATCCAGATCCATAATCAAARACTCTAGTAACGCTRATCCCAAAGCCCGARCAAATGRAGAAAATGTGATCACTGACCCCTAAAATAGCGCTTATTCCTCATCTCATTATTACCCATGGTAGATATATCACAAATGCCCAACCATCATATGACATATCATAACAAATTATCATCAGGTTTCAATTTAGACTCCAAAGCAATTAGTTATATTAATAGCTTTGCTACTATTCTCAGTCCGGTAAAGCCCGCGCTATATTACAACATTTCCCTCATGGCAAAAAATATTTATATAACTAACATGAACTAAACAAAACCCCAGCAATAATCAACAACTTGCTTACGGCTTTCAGTTGTATGTCCTCTTTTGAAGCACTCTTGATGTCGTTAAATCTCCAAATCTCAACTGGACTCATAAGTGTAGTGAATCATATAGGTTTAGTGCAAATAATCTGAATAATGGACATTTTAAAGCTGTCAAAAAATATATAAAACGTGTTAAATTTTATTTTTTCTGATTGCATGCGTTATTAACATTTTTTAGTCTAGTAAAAATTGAAAAAAGCATTTCTTTTTTTTAACTGCGGGCGAGACGTGTCAGAAGAGTTTGAATTTCCTGTCATTTGCACACATTTCACACAGTAGTGAAAAAATAAATATACGATCCGGCTTTGCTTTGTTCATTTGAAGATGATGTTTTTGAAAGGTACATAATGATGCAACCATTAATCGCGCCACTACTATGATGGTCACCTGAATGACTTGAGTAGGAAAAAAGGCACAGCAAGAGAGCTAAAATTTATATTACATGATGTGTATTTTCAGTTATACATGCGTACTCGCTTTTTACTGAGGATTTCTGTTTAATTTGTTTCTAGCTTTTTGTTCTTCATGACAAGATTCTCGATCATGCATGCATGATTCTTTGTTGTTTTTGAAACAAAAAACAGAATTATTATATTGCATTACGCGCTTCAAGGCAAAGGGATAAATTGGCGAGACTAGCATGATTTAGTAGAGTGTAGAACCGTCGACTTTTGTCTTTTTTGACTTGTAATAAATATTGTTTTATAAAATATAAATAGCTAAGCATAGAAATAGATATTTGAACATAAAATATATAAAGAAGAATCTATCCATTTCTTCTTTTTTTGTAATTGTTTTTTTTTTTTCATCTTGAATACATAGCCAATCTCTTGTGACGGTTACGGATCCATCACCAGTATAGATATATACACAAATTAACGAATAAGTAACATTAGCAACAACAATAAAACTTTATTTTTYACTTTTCTKYTKKKYTTTTTSGTGTATGTGTTTTTGATTTTTTTKTKTTKKKTWYGKT